TAATTGCTATCCCTTTTTGTGCTATTTAGGCAGCCGCTGTGTAAACAAACATATTGAATGCCTCTGCGGGAGTGTTTGACGTCATTTTTAGTCGTGTGTTTACTTCTTCTTGATGTTTGTCAATTCCGGAAGGGGTAATTCTCTTAAATAGGTTAACAGATAAACGGCAGCAGCAATAAATTATTGCATGATGTGGGTCCATATCCCAACCTCCGTTATCACTGGCGTCAAGATGTCCCTCGCCCGTCAGTGAGCCGAGTTTTGTAACGAGTGTTCTCTATTTGGGACGCACAAATATAACAACCTGTCAGTAAAAACCATTTAGATCAATTTCACGAGTCGTATTTGATTAATTAATTCGGCTGCACACGAGCATGCATTTCGCAACTGCTGATTGGCGCAAATTTATTCCTACCGGTATCCATTCGTCAAACTCCACATTTGCGAGCTTTATCCCACTCACGGATTCAGCTTTAGATGAAACACGGGCAAAGTTGACGGCTGCTGCCATGGGCTAAAACAGTCCGCTCGGTCGGGGTCGTACTTCGGCCTCCCTACACCACTGACTCAAAACCGATGTTAGCAGACCATTTTCAATTTACGCACTTTTCTGTAGATGCCAACAAATCCGCCCTCTCCGTCCTTTCCAACTCTGATGGCACTCGGAAGGTCAAGCACTACCGGATTACAAAAGACACAGCCAAAAATGAACTCAAGATTTCTTCCTCAAAGTCTTTCCTCTCTCTCGACCAGTTATTACGGTATTACAAAGGTGAGTCTATCGCCATCTTAGATTTTTATCGAAACGCATCATGTATCCTGTATTTATATTCCGGAACTCCACTCTTTTCTTCGTGACAATTTAAATTGACTTTACGTTGCCGCACAGTATGCAGATCATCAGAAATATAGCTCACAAGTATAGGCATTTGCAACTGGACTCTGCGACGTGCTCACGCATGAAGATGGCATCCTTGGCTGAGTCAAGGCAAAGCTAATCTGGGAAGCAAGTGGATCTAATCTGTGATGCAGGAGGTTTTATTTTCCTCGTCTTTCGGATCCTAACCCGAGACCCGGTACCTGCGACCGTTAGGGATGCATAGGGAGGTGCAGTATTTGCAGCTTTAGAATAATCGTATAGAGGCAAACAGTCAAACATCAAGCTGTGAGACCAGAGAAATAATTAAATCTGGTGCCAGGCAACCAAGTTAGAGGAATTTGAGTGATTAAAAAGCCTCAACAGTAGAGGCGAACGACGTTGACACACAAATGGTAGTTCAGTCGACACAACTAGATAGTGTTATGGAGCGCGACAAGGCTAAACTCGTCACGGGAGTTGTCAGCCACCTGAGTCACTAGCCGCTGGAGTTACGGTTCTGCGGCGTAGCATTACTCCACAACTTCAACGACCTCTTTTCAGTGTAGATAACCCTAACACTTCACCCGAACAAAGCAACTGATCACGCGAAAGACGTGCCTCTGAGTATTACTTCGTGGACCACACCGAGAGGAGAAAATGCCTATTCACATGTTCGGAGGGTAACGGTTCGATGTTTGGACGTGGTCGGTGAGGCCATTCTGTCATCAAAATCCCTTGACAATAGAACACTTGCGCATGACCTGCGTACGAACGTTTACAGGGCGGCGCACCAAGGAACTTATGTAAATCGTGCACCTACCGCAACTCCCTCCTATTCGCTGTTTTTTTGGGGAATTAATTTCAGCGCGCCCTGATAATTTTCAAGGCACTTTTGTTTGTCTGATGTAAGACAAATAAGTACTTTGACGGAGCCCGGTTGACCTTCCTTCCTCTTCCATCGCACCTAGCTCAGTGGTCAGTGATTAACAGGCCCATAAGTTGATGGAAATTAGATTGGTACTTTTTCAGTCAAATCAATACTTCTAGTTAATATGTCCTAATATTTTTCTGTTTTTGTGCGTATCATCAGTATCTGTATGCCTACTTAAACGGAGCGTTCCGAATTGTGGTTTAACTGTCCTAATGCGCCTACCACATCCCCAACTGTACAAATGTCAGGTTTTATTCGGGCGGACGGACGTAATGTATCTCGCTCAAGTGCGAGTGCATCTTACAAAGCGCCATTTCAGCCTGAACCTCGGCACTATGTAGGAGCAAGTTGTATTGGTCAGCTAGTGACCTTCCGGATCGCATGACTGTCTGCTGGTGATTTTTAAGGCACTTTTGCTCATTTGACGTAACGCCAGTAAGTACTCTGACAAAACCCAGTTTCCCCTTCAATCTCACTCTGTCTGTTGTTGACAGGACCAGTAGACCATAGGGATGAGATTGATTGCCGTGGCTGACGAGATGCCGTAGAGTCTCTCCGTAACGCGTGTGTGTCACATGCATGCGCGACAACAATTTAAGAGGCAGGTAGC